CTTCAACAATGAGCGTTAGAACCGCAACGTAGTAAACAAATCAGATAATTAATCATGAAAGTAGTTTTTTAGGAAGCAAATTGGTAAATTTTTCAATATGCCGCCATTTTGTTTCTACTAAGGTTAGGGAGTTGAAATTTTTCCAGAATATTTTTAGAACCTACTTTGTAAACTGTGTAAAGTTTAAAAAGTTCGGTGCATGAATGGGCACGTAATATAAAATCAAACGTTTAAACCCCTTCGTGGGACACCCTATATATTATTTTCTGATACAACAATATACAGGGTGAGTTTTAATTGTCCCCCCCCCAACTTTTTTCTACATTTTTTCAAATATCAATCCCAGACCACTTCCAAACATTGTTGGGTAGGAAGTACTTAATTTTGACCAGGTGGTCATTTCCGGCCGCCATCTTGGATCCGCCATATTGGATGCAAAATATTTTTTTCAAATGTAAAGATGGGGTTGTGACCCATTATTTCGAACTACATTTCTACCCTGATTACAATGCCGCAAACCGTTCTTAAAAATCTTGATTCATTCCAAAGTTATGAGGGTTTTTTAAAACTTTATTTTTAGCCCATTTTAACATTGTGCATTTACAAACTAAGACCATTATCTCAAATTAGTGCTAAATAAAGATAAGTATACACTACCAGTCATTGTTAACCTATTTTCACTTGGTTATGACAGATGTACTTTATTCGGCCACCATCTTGGATCCGCCATTTTGAAATGTGATAAATTATTTTAAATATGAAGGGAGTGTTGTGACCCATCATTTCAGATTACATTTTTAAGCTGAATTCAATTCCATGATCCGTTTTTTCATTTTTATATTTTGATTTTGAAATATTGACATTTTTAACAAAACAATTGCAATATATCATAACAAATAAAACTTGATAACAAAAAATGGATTGCGGCATTGAATTTAGCTTAATAAAGTAGTTCAAAATAATGGGTCACAACACACCCTTCATATTTAAAATAATTTATCACATTTCAAAATTGCGGATCCAAGATGGCGGCAAAAAAAATACATCTGTCATAACCAAGTGAAAATAGGTCGACAATGACTGGTAGTGTATACTTGTCTTTATCTAGCACTATTTTGAGATTATGGTCTTAGTTTGTAAATGCACAATGTTAAAATGGGCTAAAAATAAAGTTTTAAAAAACCCTCATAACTTTGGAATGAATCAAGATTTTTAAAAACGGTTTGCGGCATTGTAATCAGGGTAGAAATGTAGTTCGAAATAATGGGTCACGACCTCACCTTAACATTTGAAAAAAAATATTTTGCATCCAATATGGCGGATCCAAGATGGCGGCCGGAAATGACCACCTGGTCAAAATTAAGTACTTACTACCCAACAATGTTTGGAAGTGGTCTGGGATTGATATTTGAAAAAATGTAGAAAAAAGTTGGGGGGACAATTATTCATTTTTCTCTATATTTTACATCTATATAGTTAATACTAACTAATAAGAGTAACTAAACTATAACAACAGAGATGTTAGCAAAAAAAGTTTTTTTCTGATTTCACTGAGTTTTTTTAATTTATCTTACGCTTGGTATGTTACGTTTATTAACAAAGTTTGATTATAGTTCGGCCGCTTAGAAAACGACCTGAACGCTAATGCTAAACCAATGCTGGAGGAGGTCGCTTTCTAAGCGGCCGAACTATAGTATTGTTTTCTAGGAATTTTTTACTTAGTTATACATTATACTATATTCGATAAAAGCTTACTTTAAATTAGACATGAAATCAGTAATTTCATGATAAGTCTATAATTTATACAATTTTGTAACTCAATAATTTCTTATGAATTTTATTACAGTTCTTATGAGTGTCTACAAAGAAATTGGAGGTTCCATCTACAACAATGCATTGTTAAAAGATTCATTACCTGATGATCGTTCTATGTGGCTTTTTTGGTTGTGTCAAGTCCTATTTTTATAACCATCCCTGTAAGATTGACTTACGTGTTAAGGCAATAAGCTTAGTTAAATATTTGTCTTTGATAAATTTATTGTAAAATGGCTCACGAGTATAAAAATCATGCTTTATTCGTCAACATTCAATGTGATTTTATATGGTCACTTGCTGGATTTGAGGGGAGGCAATGTGTTTGTGTAAAGGCCCGTTTTGCCAGAAGCGTCTGGTGCGTCCGACGCTCAGCGATGATCGCTCTCAGCGTCTATCGCTCGGGCCTATTTTGCCAGAAGCGTCTGTTCCTTGCGATTATTTGATCAATAAGTGGTTTACTTTGGTGGCAAAAGGAGTGTTTCTGAAAATGACCTGTAAAAAGCAAATAGTAAAGTATTGGTTAGCTGAGGAATTACACGATGATGAGATATTAGAAATGTTGTGCAAACCTTGGGAAGAAGTGCGTACTATGTTTTAAAAGAGGCCTGAAGAGGGATATTTTAAATTGTTAATTGAAAATCACATAACAATTGACTTAACAGTCGTGTGCTGAAATGGCTTCAATCGGTTTTTCATCTTCTTCACTATTGAATCCCCACTTTGTTTGTGACATGTCACTAAACTTGAAAACACAACTTATTTAAGGAAACAAAAGTTAAGTCAACAACTAAACACGTGCTTATTCTAGTAATAATCGCTAGCGACTGCGTCTCCGTCTGCTCCAGGAGCAGTGGTCCGCGTCAGACGCTGGCGGTTGTAGCGATAGACGCTTCTGGCAAAATAGACTAACCTAAAACAATGCAAAGCAGTGGGCAGCGATTGACGCGGAGCGATAGACGTTGAGCGTCAGACGCACGAGACGCTTCTGGCAAAACGGGCCTTAATATTGCACCGTCACAGATTTGGTGAGCATTGTGATTTTGTTGTGATGAAGCTTAATAATTCTACTTTGGCTTTTGTGTTTAACAAGTATTTCTTATTTGGTGGATAGGATTTTAACCTTAGCCGGAAAAATCAGGGATCAATTTCAGAGGACACAGTGGAATGGGGTTCCAATACCTCTCTTTCATAGACAAAATTTCATGAAATTTAGATGACTTGCAAATGCAGGGTTTTATTCCAGGGAAACGTAGTGTAACTGTAAACCAATACAGTAGACTCCCTCTTATCCGGAAACCTTTTAACCGGACTACACTCAGAAGTGACATCTCTTTATCCGGACAATTTTTATCAGCACAACGGTTTAACTGGACTAGATCGGCAGGAAGTGAGCGGTACTGAAAGGACTATTCTTGTGGAAAAGATTTGAAACTAGTTATCACGTGTCTAAATACAATGCTCTCATAAATTTAAGTCAAATACTGTATACAGTATGCACTTAAACGGTCCGATTTAACAAATTTTTGGAGACGTTGGTTTAACCGGAAAAACTGTTATCCGGACTGGCCTTGGTCCCGAGGAGTCTGGATAAGAGGGAGTCTACTGTATTTCTCTTTTGTAGATAAAATTTCATAAGTTAAAATATTATTTTGGTGGATACTGAGGCTGCAAGCTACTGTCTTTTTGTTGTAATATAGCAGAATTGTTTATGGGATGAGGGAATCAGAGCTATAAATGATGGTGAGGAGGATAGCTGGCGTTACGATTCAGTTCTGGGATATTAAATTTTAGACGTCAAGCAATGGGATGCGTATGCGTCTTGTATTCAACTTCAAATTTACTGGTTCTTTCAGTGTTAGTTCCTTCATCATTGACTGTGGTTCATAATGTCAGAAAATGTGTTATTTAGTCATCACAACAATCCAACAAACTCACAAAGCTCACATCTTTCTTGTTCTATTTATATTCAGAGTTTTTGCAGTTGGCAACTTCTCGTTTAACGTGTTAATTTTAAATGCCAACCCCACCTCAACTTGAACTACTCCCTATCCTAAATGTAGGTTTCTTTGTCCGACTCTGTACAATGAGCTGTCTTTACTGAATTTACTACTAGTTTTCTGTTAGTCTGTTTATCGAGTGTATTGTAAAGGGTGTCCCAACAAGAACGCCGGATTAAAAATTTTAATAAACCATATATTTTCACGCTAAATTTACAATATGAAACATGAATCTTAAAGCATAGTATCTCCGATTAGTAATGGAATATTATGTCTCGTAAGTGCCCACCTGCTGCCTGCTGACAAGCCAGACATCTATTGACGAAGTTTTCTATAACTTTTTCACCCAGTTCATGTTGAATTCCTCTAATGGCACGAATAATTTCCACCTTCAGGTCTTGGATTGTTTGAGGATTATTGGCAAAAACAAGCGACTTTAAACATCCACAAAGAAAGTAGTCACACGGTGTTAATCGCACGATCTTGCTTAGATGAATGTGTGCGTCATCACTGAACAGCAATGTTTTTTAAAACAAGTCATTTTCATCTCGATTTCCAACCACCTAGTTTACAAATTCAGGCCATTTTACAGGATCTCTTGGCTTGATCTCTTGTTTGAGTTGGAATTTTTAGGGAACATGTGAAGGTCTTTTATCAAAATTCTTTGTGCTGTGCTCCGAGCTAGGCCTAACTGCTGACTACGCCGACGAATCGATGTTTTTGCGTTGTCCTCTACACTATCATGTACAGCATCAATATTTTCAAGGGAACGACCTGCCCGACTACGCACTGGTCTTTTAATGTCCAAAACTGAGCCAGTTCCTTCGAACTAAGAAATTAATTTTCAGACAGATGACTCATTTTGTGCATTATCCCGGCCGAAAATAGCGCGCAGCTTCCGCACCGTTCCAGCGAAACATTCACCGTACTTGTAGTGCACTTTAACTATGACCACGCGTTGATCCGTCATGTAACGATTCATGACTACAAATGGGACATAATACTGATAACATCGCTGATAATTTGGGAATTCCTATTGAAATACAGATAAGGATATGACGCTCCTGAAATCCGGCGTTCTTACTGGGACACCCTTTATAAGGTGTAATGTTGATTTTGTTTGTTTACTTATATGACAACCAGTTACAGGGTGATTTGTAGTGGGGGGAGCCAGTGAGCTTAACTCCAAAAGTTTATCGCTTGATGCTCGGTAAGTATCTTATTTGGCCAAGGTTAACATTTGCTAGTCAGTAACTGAGAAATACTCACAAGTCATCGTAGTACATGAGATTGTGGTAGTGAATGTTTCTCAGAGTGTTAGACACGGTGTCTGATTGTTTTAAACATTGGATTTCAGTTTAAAAATCTTTACAGATTCATTGCATGTTTGAAAAGTCCTCGGCTTGATGCTTATTATTCATTTATTTTCTGACCTGATAATTTTTTTAATTCATGGGATGGCTCTGCATAGATTTGGTAATACTACTTCCACCTACTGTATCTTTCAGTGAACCGTTTTCATCACGAAATTGTAATGACGTGTTACAAAAAAATCCTTTTGGCAAATGCCGATTTGTATCAGCCGAGATTTATTTCTTCCGACCATTTTATTGCCTTCAAAGTTCGTTAAACAAAAAGTCTGCTTATTATCCAAGGTCGATTACTACGGACTCGGATTCAAGGGAGGCTTCTATATAGAAAGGAATGAAAAATGGAAGGGAGGAATTCATCTTCCATATAACTGGATAAAAAGGTGTAGCTGCTGCCATTTCGGTAAGTTAGTGACTTTTCAAAGCTTAGAAACGAAACTTGCATGCCCAGTTTTGCATGGTCAATTAAATATCAGAAATATTTGAGCTAAAAAAAAATCAATTTTGTTTGCAGAAAATGAATGAAAGTATAAAACCTTTTAGGTGTTGGTTTTGCAGGTTTGCTTGGTTTTTGATAGCTTATATAACACAGTATGCTAACAATAACGTGTGTGTTTGAACAGGCTGCTTTAGATGGAAACCAGAAGTTTTCCCAGGAGGGTCAGCTGATAATGATACGGTACTCAACTTATCCAGAGAACACACATCGACTTCTGCCTGTGATTTGTCTATTACAAGTGTCAGTTTACCAGCATCATCGTCTGTCAGCAGTTCACAGTCTACTTCATTTGAGCCGGCTCCTACGGTTTCAAAGAGTCAGTGTTCAGTTTCCAAAAGCAATTTCTCAATACTGAATTTAACAAAAGATTGTGTGAAACACACCAGCTCGGTTATCAAACAAGAGAATGAGTCTGATCCCCTTCCCCCTGATACAGCGGAGACCATCGCACAAGAAGTGGAGTGCTCTCCTCAGCGTCCGGCGTCTAGAGACAGTTGTTGTGTGGAAAACACTCAAGACTCTGTCGCGTCAGCTGCTGACTCTGAACACACCAAAGGAGTTGAGGGTTCTGGTTAGTCATTTCAACATTACCACTAGTAGTCTATAATGTACTATTGCTACTTTCAACATTGGAGTGTATACATAGTGCTTGAAAGTGTGCTATAGTACAACAAAAAGAAGTAAAATAATATGCAGCTTTGTTTTAATAGTATAAACTTTAAAAATGCAAAAGCAAAAATGTATCCTTCATGTAAGGAAGTAATGTCTAAATCTTAACTGGTAAATTTCCAAACTATTCTACTATTGTCAATTAATTTCAAATGTATCTAAAACTCAGTTCCGTTCCATGGTTTCAGTATTTTTTATATTCTGTATTGAATGTAACTAACATAGTGCTAATACAAGTGTATTTATGGTTTCTGTTTTTGTTTTCAAACCTTACACCCTGGAAATCACAATGCAAATGCACTGTTATGTTATGTAGCTTTGAGAGATAATGGATCACTTGTGTACATTGTTGACCTTAGCTTTAGCTAATGCAAGCTGCTACCAAAGTCTGTAATTGAGTGTGTAGTTAAAGTTTATTCCTGGCATTCTGCCAAAGGTCTATATTTTTAACTTTATTTTGTACTTCAAAGGGGAACTTGAACACATCTAATTCAGATTACTTAGGGTATTTGTCAAAGAAATAACGATACGTGTCAAAATAGTAGTCAAAGTTCCAGTTATCAACTAACTTGGTCAATATTGATGATGTATTATCATCAAAAGAGCCAAACTCAATCTTTCAGTTTATTTTTAAAACTAATTTGAGTACATAAAACAAAGTATACCTTGAAAACAAAATATCAACTACTTATAAGGAATTGATGAATGAAATGGTTTCATGAAAAGTAAAATTTATTACTGGTGTAAATATTGTACAATAATATGTATAATCCTGCATTACAGCGATGGACCATGGTTACAATTCAGAGACCAATGATGAAATTCAGAGTGACCAAGAAGAGAGTTACAAAAAAGTGAAAAGGAAACCTGGAAGACCACGAAGTTTACACAAAAAGGACAAAGTAAAAGGTATTGTTTCTACCCAAAATATAAATTAAATTATTCCTTTTTATCATGAAGATTGTTTGATTTTTATCATGATGAGGATTGTGCAGAAGTGAATTTAAGGATTTGAACCCATGGTCTGAAAGTAAGTTGCAGGAATTTTAAAATGGGTTGCATCCCAGTTCCTGATGTTCACGATTTTCTAATGCCTGTTGAAAAACAGTGGATAAGTGTGTGAATGTGTGCCTGATAGTTTACCCTGATGCTGTTCGACAGAATTTCTTATGTTCTGTTAAAAAATATTATATATTATATTTTACCAAGAATTTGACTTCCTAATGTGGTCAAACCCCTAAACTTAAAATATAAGAGACCTCCGTTTTATCCGAGAGTGTCAGTAATCGAGGTAGTCTTGGTCTCAACAACCTCGGTTAATCGAGAGTTTATCGTAGTGCTTGTTCAGTTTATGGCTTGAAAAAACGTTCAACAAAATTCATTTTTAATTCAAATGTGTTTTAATTACGTGTAAATTTGCTGTGGTGACGTCAACATTGTGATCATCTTCCGAGGTCATAATAAAATGAGGGAACATCATCCGTGGTTACGGCAAAATCAATTACAGCTTAACAGTTTTTGGCTCAAACTGATCTCTCAGGCCATCTGATGACCCATCCCATTCTAAACATTTGGGGACCTACAGACACCTAGTAAAAAGGTACGCTTGGAAAACCAGGTTTTGCTGCCGGAGAATTTGTGTTGATTTTCCCCAGGAGTTAAGTGGCCACTCTGTTACGTGTTGTCTGTAGTGCCACAATATACTCATGATAAACAATGTATCTGTCCTCAGGTAAGGTGGGTAGAGTTTGGGAATTTATACGTGATCTAATCATGGACCCAAAATACAACCCCAAAGTGATCTCATGGGAAGATCGAGAGAAAGGGTTGTTTCGCTTTCGAAGCGGAGACCAAGTTGCCAAGCTGTGGGGCTGCAAGCGGGGAAACCCTCGCATGAACTTTGAAAACTTCAGTAGATCCATCAGGTTTGTGAGAAATAAAACAGTCGAATAGTCAAACTGGCATTGATTGGAAACTGAACTAGGCAAGATTGAAATGCCGAAGTTTTTTTTTTTGTCCTAAGACGCTAGGCACGAGCCCGGGATTGTTTTTCACATTACTTTAGGCTAGACCTAGGGGTTGCGGCATTATCACTTAAATAAAATCATTGGTGATTTGGCGGGATTTGAACCCAGGACCCCAGGGACAGAAGTCTTGTGCTCTAACCACTACACCATCTCGCTCCCCAATGCCATGAAATGCCATAGTAAAACTATTAATAAAACAACTAAGATAGTTGTGCTTTTACTGAGAGTAGACAAAGGGATATTACTACGCTGCCATCTGATTGCGGATTTCTTTATTTTGTAATTTAGGTAAAATTTTATAAATGAGTTTATTTTTCAATAACGTTTTTGGATAGTGATTTTTCTAGATGTTTGGGTACAGTATTTACAATTCAAGAAAAGTATTTATGCTAACCTTGAAAAAGTGTATTTTCTTTTAATCGTTGCCGAGTACGCACGCACCAAAATGTACGAGATCGGCGCGCGCCTAGCGGCGTCATAACGAAACGTTCTTTACTTTCTGGATAGCCTGAGTAGTACACGTCACATAGTACAGTATAAAAAAGTATTGATTATTTCTTTTTGTAAATGTTGAAAAGCCTCTACCACTTTATGATATTCTCGTTTCTTTGCAGGCAAAACTACAAGAAAGGTTACTTGTTGCCGGTGGAGAAGATTCGTCTGGTGTACCAGTTCGGGCCTCGCTCCACGGGTTGGCGTCCGGGTGATCCCCCCACTAAACCCGTCACTCTCCCCTCCAACACCCCCTCCCCCTCCGCCGCGGCTGCTGCCACTACTGTTGCTCAATAGATTGTACCCCCCCCCCTTTGTAGTGGCTGCAAAGGCTTATTTATGGTGTTACTTAGTGTTTAATGTATTTTTTTATAAATTTGTTATTCTATATGTTAAATGTCTTAATTTATTTGAATCTTATAACGAATTGACTTGATAGACAAGTATAAAAATGTAATGGTTTCAGTTAAATTCTGGAACGTATAAAAAGCGGAATGAAAATATTCAATAATTAGAATATTTTAAAAGCTTGGTTAAAAAATGAAAGCAACAACTTTATCACTGAAACTCGTTATTTATTTCTTATTACGTTTATGTTGATAATTTACTGTTTTGCTTGAATGTTAAATGCTAGAAAGTTGTAAATAAACGGTTTACTATTACGGTTTAAATATTTCTAAAATTTTATTATATATGTAAATTGTTGTTGATATGGAGATGTAGGTATTTTATTATATAGCCTACCTAGTTTATATTTTTGTATGAAGATACTTTGTAAGAGTAATTTTATAGTTAGTAAGTATAAATTAAATAGGCCCAATTATTCCCTTGAAAATATAATTTTGTGAAGTTTGTTTACAGATAGTGTAGTTATTTGAGGAACAAGGCCCATTTACTACAGGGTTTGTTAGATTTAACGTTTGAGGTCCACTACCACCTGAGTGACTTGAGTCTTGTGTGCTGATGTGTTTTGAGCACAAATTGAAATTAACCTTAAATACTCACTGGAGCATAGTTTGTTTTTCATGGCTTATCTTGTATAATGAGTTTTTCACTTTAACACGTTTGCTGTACTATTCTCTGTCACTTGCATGAGTGTTTGTATGCTTGAACATCATACAATACGTCAAATACACTTATAATTATTGTTGAGCAAATCAAAAAACGAAGTAAAGTTAAGTTGATTTTAACAACTGCTGTCCAAAGTTATGTAAAACCAGTAAAGAAAGAGATTACGTTACGATAGTGAACATCTATCCTCAACAGATTAAACGTTGGTTAAAAATTAAGAGCTTTATCTGTAGAAATTATGGTCAATGATAAAAATAAAAACGTGTGTATATTAAGTTTGATAAGCCTCGCGCTTTGTAGGAGGAGCCTTAACACTTTTTCCAGGATCAACTTGCTTGTTGTGAATCAGTAGAAAGGCGCCTAGTGCCTTTTTATTAAACAAACTGAAACATAGGAACAGCGTTCAGGGCGTCTTAAATAAGTATTGCTTTATAAACTGTGGATTTGTCCTTCAAAAGTGTATTCTTTTGTGGCATGGTAAAAAGGTTGGGACCACAATAATGCATATGTTGAGTTTGTGTATATGTGTTAATTTCTCAGGGTAAAAAAGTCAAACCTTAAAAATGTTTGTCACTAAGATAAATTAAAATCCCTCAGGTAAAGGTGAAAACTATTAATATATTTAGACACTTTTAAAAACTTATACTGTAATAACTTTATATAATATTTTTCTTGTTATTTTATTTTCTGATCTTTATCTTAGAAACAAAATTAACAGTCTGCTTTACCTATCAGCTACAACCCATTTATAGGACTACATAAATGGATTATCAATATGACATCATAATTCATAACACGATGCACATTAGCTTTTTCCATTCTTCAGTAGAATTTATTTTGTCTTTCTTCAACTTTTCTTAATAAGTGTAAGATTCATTTTCATTAGATAAAAACAATGTGTATAACCGCTTTAACACATTTGTGATAGCTTCAAAAGTGAAACTGTTTTAAAAGCATGTGCAGCATTTAATTGTTTTTGTAGTTTAGTTTGGTTTCAACAATAATAATTATTCTCTTTAATTAACACTGCTATTTTTTAAAGGATGATTAGATTTTAGTTCACTTTTTTGACACTGGGGCACTAGTCTTCACAGGATGTATCTCTTTAACTTGATAATGTAAAACTCTTCAAAGTTAACATTGTTTTTTTAAAAACACAGTACACCAAGTCAATGTTACTTAAATTTTCATGGGCTTCTTTAAACCTTTAAAGTGCCTAAAAACCATATTTTCACATGTATTTGTCTCCTTTTACTGTTTTAACAGTAGTTTGTAAATTAGGTTTTCCACCCATAACAATGGCACTAATATCAGGGGCGGTGCCTTATAGCTTTCCTTTTGAAAATTATTATCTTCATTAATTAGTTTTGGAATAAAGTAGGAAATGTATGTTTCAAGCACTTGCATGTCAATTATTATTGGGTTTTAACAGTTTAACTTGGGTTGATATGTATAAATGTTTGAAAATACATTTACGCATGGTATTTAAATACTAAATTAGATAATGTTAATGTTATTGCAAGATTTTATAAATAAAGTAAAGTGCTGTTTAGTCTCTTACAGTATATTTACAAATTGAGCTTTTAAACAGCACAAGGCCTATTTAAGAATCACTGGATTTCGATAAAGTGTAATTTAATTTTGCTTCCTATTAAACCTTAATTTTTTGTATATGAGTAAAAACTCCTTCAGTCTTATAGTTAAATGATTGTTTGAAATTTTAAATATTTTATAGCAAAGATGTTTGCTAGTAGGAAAACGGTCATAAAAAATTGCAAAAGTAAACATAGATAGGCTACTAGATAGATATTATATTCTTTCAATATATGTACAATTCCATTTTTTTTTATCATTGCTAATACGTAGCCCTATGTCTTAAACTCAAACTTTAAAAATCTGGTCCTAAATGTAAAACTTTATTACATCAAAAATTATAGAAAAGGCAATTAGTATATTTAGGCTATGTTTTGCGTTTGTTATTAGCTTTGAAAATCTAAAAAGGCAAACGATTTATATTATCTTAGCCTATATTGCCATGTAAACTGAAGGGTTTTATTTTTTTAAATTGTATTGTAACTCCAATTAAATTCTATATTCTTCGATCTTTTTCTGTAAATGTTGCTACATAATGTCATTAATGTCTGTGATCGTCTTAGCATTGGTCATTGTCATAGGTTCTCCGGAATACCAGAACGTGATTTTTAATATTTTTCAAATGAATTTTAGCTTTTGTTGTGAACATGTTTTCCTTAGTCGATGGTTCTTTAATGTATCTGTTCCACAGCTATTGTATTTTCTGTGTGCAATTTCACCCATAACATGTTATAGACTAGTAAGCCTAAACTGGCGAGCACATAAGCAGACAGTGAAGCCAAATTAATGTACCAATATTATTGTGTTAGGCCTATCGCAAATGTTTAATTGTGAAATGCTCAAAGAAGTACCATGACTGTTAAATGTAGTTTTGGGAATCGGCACACTCATCAAGCACTGGTGACTGTTACACACTTACTTATGCTAAATGTTGTGTTATAATGCCCTCACTAGAGTAGGAAACACCCCTTACCTCACTGTTGGTTATCTTCATCTGCTCAAGAATATTTAATATAGTCCTTAAACTAAACACATTGAAGGTAAATATTGCTATTTGGCACTTTACTTCTGTTCTCCATTTATTTTGATTTTTATTCAACAGTATTGGGGTGAAATATAAATTCAATGGTCAATTTTTCGGCACAATATAGAAAATACATGTTCTTTTTATCTAATAGAAAATAAAATATTTTCAGTAATTGATTTAAAATAATACAATTTGTTTAAGCTGGAATTACTGAAATTCACACCACTCACAATTTTAGGAATAATATGAGTTACAATTTGAGATACAATTTTTCTAACCCTAACATTTTGTGCTAATTTTAAAGTAGGCTGTAGGAAAGTTACTCTCAGAGTTTGCAAGACAGTGAGATATTTTACCTGCAATGTGTTTTTACAGAGAAGTGAGGTAAAGAGGAAACTTGCTTATAGGACAACCGTGCTCTTTCAGCTCTTGTGTGTTGTGCCAAAAATATACTTGTGACAAGCAAGGAAGAGCCCTGCTAGCACTGTGCGGATATTCCTTTTACACAGGGCACAGGGTCTTCCTCCAACGTCAGCGTTGTAGAACATGAGGACATTGACATTGCCCTAGACACCACTTAAGTTTACCATTGAATTTTTCCTTACCTTACTTCTCTGTGGTTTAATATAGTAAAGTATGTACTTCTTGATTTCTGCTTTATAGTGAATAAAGAGTGCTCAAGTCTCTACCAATCTGTACCAAATGAGTGGTTTTTGTAGATGTGATATTCTATTTCAAGAGATAAAATCAAATATTTTTGTAAATTTATAAAGTAAACATTGTTTTTATTATTATTTCTATACTTTGAGAAATGTTAAAATACTGGTAAAATGGATATTGTGTTGATATCTTGTAAAGTAAATTGTTAACCTTCATAAACATCGAATGTGTATTTTACAAGTTAAAAATTTATAAATTTACTCCAGCCATCAAAAAAATCCATTTTGCTAGTTATTGAATATACTTAAAATAAAAATATAATTGGTAACTTTTGATGAACTATATATCTGCTTCTAGTTCAACAGCACATGTTAACTAGTTTCACAAAATAAATACTTGGAATACATAAAAATTGTATTTCTACCTGTAAATCTCAGTAAGCGTGTGTTGTTTGTATTTTTCATAGTAATGCATAGTCCGGATGTGACCATAGGTCTAGTTAATGCCAACATAAATTCTTGTGTTTATAATTGTTGTATCTCTATGAAAGTTTGTACCAGTTTTTGCAAGGTTGTATCCTATATGTTAGTAGCTATGTGTTCTTCAATTGAAACTGTTGATGGCATCTATATGGATTTAATGTTTCATCTGATTCTTTTATCGATAGAATCATATCAGTGTTTGGGCCTATCGCCTACTTCCTCCCCTAAATAAACAATTAATTGTTTGCCATAACAGCATTCCAAGTCATTGAAATAAATATACTTTGAAAGAAAATCATATTGTTAAAAAGTGTTGTCATACAAGGTGATCTTCTGAGTCCATCCTGTTTCTTTATTTAATTTTAAAGCAATAAAATGAAAACTTCATAAAGCAAGGAAGACTGACAAACCAACAGTTTTAGAAATGATTGCTTAGTTGTTCACCGTGAAATACTTTACTTTGCCTGTTTAAGACTGAAAATAATAAGAGATATTGGAAGTGCCATGTTGTGGGGTACTGCTTAAAGTCTTCATCTAATTGTTGTTATAAACAAGGTGTCTATTCTGATTTGCGTTATTGAGAATTTGATTTTTCTATCAGTGTTTTTATTCTTAGTAATTTTAGAATAAATGTTTTTACCAGTTTTCATATAAAGAACATTACCGATATTTTGTACTTGCAGTATTGTATTGCAATTTAAAAAAATATATTTATTTCTAGTTTTTTCATAGTTTTCTACATTCTAATTAGAGACATCAGGAATAGATGCCTTGCATGGTTTGTGTGCACATTAAATGATTTCATAATTCTGTAGGCAGTGCTAATGTAGTTAATTATTAATATATTTACAATTAAGTGTTTTCTTTTATAATGTGTAATATCTGGACCGATACAGGGTATTTAGTGGAAACTAGTAAAAATACTGTAATCAATTATCAATGTTTTTAATCACACTTCCCCTATAAGTAGTTTCAGAAACCTAAAGAAATAACAAATTGCATTAGTAAGTTATTTAATTTAATTTTACAAACCATAATATTACATTTAATGACTATACAGTTTAAAAAAATATATATACTGTTTCTCTGGATGTTTTTTTTTATTGTTTTCTGTTAAGGACATTGATCGTCAAAATGTTTCCAAAGTTCTCAATACTTTGTTGGATGAACAGAGGTCAATAAATTAAAGTAAGCTAAAACATCGTACCTAATCTTCTCAGATATATATTTTTATTTCTTTGTGATTTTCAAAATATTGAATGTACTTTAAGAAGAAGCTATACCAATATGTTACAATTTCTGTTATGATATGAAAAGACCAAATAAAGTCTCGTGACCTGAAGCTCGAAGTAAGTAATATTTTCTGTAGACTAAACATAAGTAAATTTTCATTTTAATGACGGGAGAAAGTATGTGCCAGTTCTTTGGTGGTATCTGTTCTCAATGTTGTTGTATTGTTGAATGTATATATGTATTTATTTCATTTCAAGTAAGTCTACTTTAAATGACTGTACTTGAGAATGACCAATAAAATTTTCTATTGTCTGAATGGGTCTATTTTGTTTTTAATTGGCCCATTTATTTCTAAGGAGTCATTTTAGGGAAAACTCGAAAATATAGGTTTTCTAAATAGGCTAGGTGTGAACATATGCAGTCAATTTTACTATTCTTAATGCCAAAGTCTAGTTCAGCATATGCTATGAGTGATAGTGAAAAAAACTCAATATTCAGGATTTTTTTCAGATGAAGTGTTCAGATTGCTTTACCAGAAAAATTATAGTTCAGATGTTTTTAAATACATTGTAAAAGGCTACATAATATACTAATACTTTGTCTCAGTAGAATACTTAAACACTTAGACACTGCTTCCCAACCAACCCGCCTAACAACTAGAGCTAAGTATGAGCTTGGTTGGGAAGTGACTGTGTTTTCAAGCACTTTCTCATGTGCTGAGCAAGTATGTCCCCGAAGCACTGCCGTCCTACTCTCTCACTCAAGGGCAAAAATTGTGCGTCCCAACTCTGCACTCTCTGATCCGCTTCTTCCATCATCTTTCCCCCAAAGGATCACGGTGCTAAACTGGCAGGCTTCTTTACTGAACCAATTTTTTGTCCACTATTTTAATACTAATTTCTCTCTATCCCCTGACTCAAAAATGTACCTGCAACTATCCTTTTCTCAGTTTTACTTTCATTTCCCTATCTAATCAACCCTAAGTCAAGGTGGAACAGCATACGCCGAGGACTGCATGGTCAAGGGTAGCTTGGCCACCCAAGCTAGTATGTGGACTGCTGGATACTAGGCGACCTCCAGTTTCAAGCAGCCTTCCTTGGGCAAGCAGGGCTCTGCCCGGGGCGACTCTTCATTCCCTTGTTACTCGTGGGATCATTCATCTGAGGTGGCTACAAGGCCCCAAGATGTTATCCCTCGAGAGCATAACGTTCCCTCACAAGAGGTGCCCCCGTCTCAGGGAGGGGATGCCATGACACTATTAGAGGAGGAAGGCCTCCTCAACGACGAGGACTACAGCCTTGTTTAGGGGCAGCTTAGCCCTAGGATATATCCCAATTGTTGGAGGGAAGCAAGGGAGGTATTTCTCTTGAAAAAAGAGGGAGAGACCCAGCCCAGCCAAAGTCCCACAGGTCTATATACCTTTCGTCTTTCATGTTAAAGACAATGGAAAAAGTAACTAACCGTCACACGAGAGACGATTACTTAGAAGAAGTATCCTCAGTGGATGTCATCATGCGTTTGTGAAGGGCAAATCAACTTCAACGGCCCTAAGTATCCTAGTGGCAAAGATTGAAGACACCCTAAAACAATAGGAATTCCTAGCAGGGATCTTCATGGAACGGTGCACTGATTTCGAGCACTCACTGAAGCGGCAGTAATAGGATCGCTAATCCTGTGGTGATTTCGAGCATGGGACCTCCAGGTCTGGAAGGACAATGCATCTAACTGTTCATTGATGAAATAGAACATCTATCATTGGTTTTGGATCCTAGGTAGCCTAAATAGGTGTTCACAGTCTGAGTTAACAAAAACGTACTACTGTATTATAAATTTAAGTATGGTTCAATTTTAGTTTTTAATTAAATTGTGCGCGTGAAACCATTTTAAGGTATTTTCAAAGAACCAACATTATATCTTTTGCATACTGACCCCGTTGCAAGGCATGGGTATAGTGCCTACTTGTGAGTATAAATGTCTAAATCAAAATTTATTCGAACGAGTTCGTGAACAAGCATGATCTGACGATGGGGACGGAGAACTATGGTGGTTTTAAAGGGTAAATTTGGGTTCCGTTTCCCTATTACTCTTTACACAATTTTCAAAAGTATTTTTTTATGGTTAAAATTTCAAATTATTCAAATTGAAAATTGATTCAAATAATTTAATTTATACGACAAAAATTCAAAACATCGTAAATCTAAAACTCTCAAGTTATTCTTTTGCATAATAGGTTAACTGTTGTAGTTTGCTTGTTTTTGGGAATATTCGATCACATTTGAAAAATTGGTTTATTTCATCCTAAGCTTTTATTATTTTACTAAAAACCCCTCAAAATTACGTTTCCCGTGTCAGAAAAGTACTAAGTACACGTTAAACGTAATGGTATCTAAATAGAGAATAAATCTGACATGTTTAAGGAGATATTTAAGTGTGAATGGAATAAATATTTGTTTATTTAACTAGGAAAAATGAAATCCAATGTGGATGAAATTTGCTTAGTACATACAGCTTAGCTGCGCCGCGGATTAAAAAACCCCTTCTAAATAAAAAAAAATGTGGAATAGCCTACATAATAAATAAAAATAAATATAATAATAAATAATCATAAGGTCGCCGGTTCGATCCTGAGAAAAGTCCGTAGCTTTTTGATGTTTTGAAACTGGACCCAGCTGTTCCTGATCATTGGGCTTTAAATAAATGATACTGACTAATGAAACCGCTGATCTTAGTCGGTAACAAAGCTACACAGGTCATCACACACCATTAGTAGTATAGAAATGCCGGTAATCTTGCAGCAGCCTTTTTGTGAGGAGCTGAGGAGCGGGCTATAAAACTTGATTATTTAATGGGTTGAGTCGGAAAACTTGTAAGTTTTGTAATTAATTTTGATGTATGTATGTGATATATACAGAATCGTATACAAAAGCCATACATTTTAGTACACAATTACGTTTTTCCAGTACGCTCCTCTCAACGAGGCTGCTGCAACATTATGTCCAGTTGCGTAAAAATGTTCTGTTATAGTGAATTATTTTATATGGGGTTACGGAAGGCAGATAATTAAATACACACACCTTAAAATATCATATAAAACACCATTCGCAATAAGGCTACACCAAATCAGGATGGATTAGAAGGGTAAATCCTATTACGTTATAATAATCTAAAGCTTACATTTTAAATCCTTTACTTGGTGTGTCATTATAATCTCCGTTAATCTTACCATAGTTGCCTGAGAGGGTTAGTCACCCTGTAATCCACTCGAAAACGTTGCACCCCTGTTCGCTTGGACCACACGCCATGAGATTTAGAATTGTGGCTGATGGCGCTGACCTGGTAATCCCTGTACCCGTGCACAATGGCAATGTCTGAGACATTATAATCCAGTGCAGTGGGCTTTTACTAGGGTATTAGCTCTAATACTTATTCAAGAGTTCATTGACATCGAATTAAAAGGTCGCTTAAATGATTTAATAAATTTAAAAAACACATGAAAATGTAATGATTTTATGTTCCGTGTGGTTTTAAACGTACAATTTCTAGTGTCGTTTGTATTCTCATATGGATTGACTAATTTTAATAATTGATAAACCATTAGAATATTTCATTATGGTTGTTAAAACTCAAAAGATACCCTTGCGTTATATATTTACTGGATATAAATAATAATACCGGTATGCAATTTGAAAACAACTTACGACAAACAGATGAATTGATTCTCTCTTCCTATATGTCAAGCATGTACTCTCTATAGATGAAAAAGTTTAAGTTATTAAAATTGAATAGGTAATAAATACATTGAGCTATTATTGTCTAAAACAGTTTTTCAATTCACTGTAAGCAGCAAATAGATATTTATTCAAGTAGGCTAACACGTGTGTAGTTGTTTAAATCATATGCATTAAAAATGTTGAAGTTGAGTATAATTATGTAAATACTATTATTATTCCCATTGAACAAAATTTAGGAACACATCAACATTACCACCCCCACCACTGAACCCACCCCCACTCACCCCTCCCACGACCAAAGTTTCCTATAAAGACCAGCTGATTATGGGTTGCATGTTAAAGTACAATTTTGTGCGCGTTACATTTACATTGTAAGTTCGCTAAATATTGTTAACAGTGATATAGATATGCAGTCGTTGTTCGATTTGAGTTTCGAAGTGTTTTGTTTGTCGTTGAAGGACGCGAGTGAAATTGAAGACCTACCAATACCCATCTCGATAAAAAGATACGCGAGGTCTATGGTAAAGGAGTTGTGGTTTTGGCAGGAGGCATTGACGTCACCTGAGGATTTCGATTACAGCACACTCGATACCAATCGCATGTCCCGGTTTGAGTTTAATATGTTAATGAACTATCCCATGGAATCACCAGGTATACCAGATTTTCTACCGGAACGGTTTTGCCACTTTACTTTCGAATACTATCTGTGGATACCAAGGGAACCGTTTGCACAAAGTCAGAAACTCTGTAGATATTGCTACATGTATGTCTCCCGAGTAACAAAATGCACAGCGGTTAGGCGGTGGGGGTGCTACAGTGATCCGGCGGGTTGGAAATTCATCAAGACCGTCGGTCACTACCGTGTGAGATCGGAAACTGCGATGGAGTCTGTGATCCATCGTGATTTTTTTTATTGTGACATGTGTGTGATCCGGCCTTTTTATGACATTTTGGACAGAAGCGAGTGCAT